TTGTAGTGTTTTTAAAAAATGGGGCTCTGGGTGAAGGATATTTCACACAAAACTTTAATTTCAATAACGTCCCTGTATCTGAGAACAGTAATTATATACAAATACCTAGTCCTCCAGCATGTGCGTCAATAAGAGATGCTGCTACTGCAGTCCCTTCAACAAGACCGAGGTCTTTTGCAGCCTCTGGCGTTAGGCCTTTTCCAACAGAAGCTCCAGGAGACAGGACTTGGTTTCCTGAGCAGACACAAGAAAAACCCAACACCCATCAGTCTGATAAACAGAAGAACAAACGTGATTTTTCCTGAAAAAGTGGATTTCCCCCCACCACTGTTTTATGTAGTAGCCCATCAAAAAAGTGCATTAACTCCATTTACTTACCAAATACCAATTGCACTATATGTATATTAAACTATAACTGTTCTGTATTATGCTGCTCATAACTGTTTAAAAACAGATAACTATTCAAAGTCCAGTATAGCCACGTAGAACAAATTTTACCGTAAGCCATAAAAATTCAATTTAACACAGCGTGATCTTTTTATTAGGCATGTAAATAGACTCTCCGGCTCACACTTTATATTGTAGCCACTGACTACATATCTGCAAAAAATAAAGGTACGGTACTTTAGAAATTAGATTTTTTTTAGGGGAAGATTCACTTGTACTGTGGCAAATAAGCAAAAACTGCACATCCTGCACTAGCAAGGAATGGTTGGCCCTGAGGTGTTTCCATCTCCAATGTCCTTCAGGGGTTCCACCAGACAAGTGATGGCTTTAATGTCCCTTAGGCCTTTATAAGAGCCAGTAGCAGCCATTCAGGAGAACCATTAAATCAACTAAATCCTTCTACCCACATTTCTTACCTAGTTGGGACCACCCACTTTTGAGTCTACGTTGTCTAGTTGCTGTGCAGGGTACATTTAACCATCACAAACTAGCCTCCTCCACTCATCTGGCATTCTGCAACAGGGCCTTTTCTGCCATGTTCTTTGACACCACAGGGGGGGGAATTTGGACATGCAGCTGTTTTTCCCCCCTCAAATGGAAAGATTATTTTAACAACGAATCAAATACAATAAAGGTAAGGAAAGGCCCAAGCTATGGTGGGATCCAGGCCCCGACACTTCGGAGTTCAGGTGTTTTTGGAACAGGGATTTGGTTCAGCCCCATCTCACATAAAAGATTTTTCCTTAGGATAAACTGGAGCATACGTAGATACAAATCAGTGAGACCGGACTGACAGCTCCTGGAATCTATGGATGCTTTATCAGAATTCACCTACAAATCAAACATGTAATGTACTGTGAGATTAAACAGGCTTCCCCCACTTCCAAACACATAACTTCTGGGTGTTAAATCATCACCCAAGCTGTAAAACACTCAGGGACAAGGGTCCCCATGCTCTTCCCTTCAAAGTTTCATGCTTGAGTTGGTCTGAATATCATATTGTGAATTTAAAATCCACACATATGGATTACTCAAAGGTTTCCAATTAGCTCATTCAAATAACCAAAAGTGACTATTTTCAGTGATTTATGTGAAATGAATAGTGGGTCTCCTCCACTTCCTAGAAGACAAGTGCCAATGTGTTATTGCTTTTAGGCACAGAAAAATCATGCTTGACTTTCCAAGTATATCACTTGTTCACCTCTTTTAATAAGCTTAGACAGCAAGATGATTTTCTTTCAGAACTGTGTAGTTAAAAACATAAAGATATGAGAAAGTAAGACTAGAGCAAGACAGTTGTGTGCTTCTCCCAACACTGAAAGACCTTGTAGCTAGGAGGTTCAAGAAAGTTCATACAGCTACAACCACAGCTTTTGCTTCAGAATCAGCTGTACCTCCTTAGCGTGCACAGCTGTACAATGAAATTATTCTGATGGAAAATCTTTCACCACTCACCCCCACTACACATTTGTTTTTTCAGTCTGAATGGTCAGGCATTGTGAGACATAATTATTAACTGGTTAGAGTCCATTAGAAAGATTTGGGCTACTATTAAACAATATATTTTCTTAATAGTTATTCAATTACAAAGTCTATGACTAAAGTACTTTTAGGGAACAATTTTAGACATACAGATATTCCTCTTACCTGAAGCAAACAGTAGAAAATGATCATATATATTTCTTTGAAACAGAAAGCTCGTAAGTCTGGTCTACATTGTGGTTTTCCCTTTTGGAGTTGAGTGTGTGGAGATAGGTGTGTTGTGACTTTCAGATACCGTCATTTTGTGCTTTAGAAAAATGCACTAAATCCACAGCATTCTCAGGTGGTTTTAGAAGTCGTCACAGTAAGAATGAGTAATTCTTCCCTAACTGAAGCCACTTCCTGACAGCATGAGAGGTCTGTTCTTGGTGCTTGATCCTGCTGTGAGGGCAGGGGACTGGACTTGATGTCCACTTGAAGTCCCTTCCAATTCTAGTATTCTATGATTCTATATCACTTCCATGTTACAAGTTCTGCTGGAGCCTGATTTCAGGCCTATCCTGATTTCCTGCACTTGACCTAGGAAGAACAAGTGAAAGACCAACTTGAAAAGCAATCCCATTTTAAATCTAATACTGTGGGGAACACTAAGCAAATGTATCCAGAAATGCTGCTCCCGCTCCTATGGGAAAAGGCAACGAGAAGCCATTCAGAAGCACACACCAACCCCCCTTTGGGAAAAAAAGATAACTGCGTGCTCAGGACCTACAGGAATCAGATGAATTTTCTCCCTCTCCATCAGCTGCGAGAAGAAAGTCTCCTTTTCCTGATCCAGCAGCTCGGAGAAGACAAAGAAGGCAGAGGCAAGGGTGACATGAAACAGGCTGAAGAGAAAACAAGAGGGGAAAGCCACTTCTTTCAGAACAGCAAGAAGGATAATGGGCGAAAAAGAAAGCACCCCCCTAGTCATCCAGTAGCTGGGTGACCGTGAAAGTAGTAATGAGGGAAAGCTGTATTTTCCCCTCTACCTCAACTACTGGGCCACAGAGATCAGTGAAGATTCATGAGCTGCACACACACAGGACCCTGTCTGCAGAGTGAGTCTGGGTGCAAGGGAAACAGGCTCCACAGGGACATGACTTTATCCCTCATAGTGAAATTCGCTCTTCCACCTACACACCTGTAACGAGGTGTGGAAAGGGCAGAACCTTGCCTCTATCCCCAAAGTGCAGGAAGGTGAGAAGGAATTGTGATCCACATGCTGAGAATCACCGGAAGCGAGAAGCCAGAACCTAGCTCCTACAGCCTCAATGTATATAGAATTTGGTATGGCAAGAATCCATAATGGTGAAGTAAAACACACAATGAATAGGAACATAATGGTCACAATTAACTGCTTATCTCCTATTCTGAGCACAGGGGGTGGGAGAGAGATGTCAGACCTTGCCAGTGTGGGATAACTGTTGAAAATACGGATTCTTTCAAAGGTTGTAAATGTGCATAGCACACATGATTCCTCCCCCTCCCCCACCCCGCATCTCCCTTCTGTTCTGCAATGTGATTTGTCCTTTTCATATTTGTTCTTTTTTTTAATTGTATCCTTTGGTATATATGGTTGTGACTATTTTCTTCCACTATTTGATCTGAGGAAGTGGGTCTGGCCCACGAAAGCTCATCATCTAATAAACCATCTTGTTAGTCTTTAAAGTGCTACATTGTCCTGCATTTTGCTTCAGCTACCCCAGACTAACACGGCTACATTTCTATCACTATGATTAGTATGGGCTTTCCACTGAAATAAAGACACTAGCCACACTGAGGAATGACGTTGGCTCCTATAAGAGCAATACAGCAACAAGGTACACACTGGCTTAGGAGGCAAAAACGTATCACAGCCCAAGTAAAGCTTCTAAACAACCGTACACTTCCGGTCCAACAAAAGGTAACAGTTCATATTTTCAGCAAGGCAAGGGAAGCAAATTGTCAGAGTAGAAGAGAGAGAGATGAGAACCCTGCAAATAGAGGCAAGCAGTGGGAGTACTAAGTCTTCTTACAGTCTTTTCAAAAAGAATGTTTGCAGTCTTCGGTCTATAAAGAAGCAATGAGCAACCTAGCCTAATGACTGGGCTGCATGAGTGGCCCTCTGTCTTAGTAGGCCACATGACTGTCATAATCAAGATGGTCTTATTAAATACGGTAGTTTTGCTAACTACACTTGCATATCTAGAATTTGCGGGGTGTGCCAACTGAACCGTCGCAGCACGTTGATTGTATCCAGAAGGAGCACACAGCTCTCACAGTCAATGTTGTGTGCAAACAACACACACCACACTTCATGTGCCCTTGCTTTACGTGCATGTCACTTTAGCAATACTGGTAGGAAAAAAAAACTGCACAGATGGAAACCAGCAGATTCTGGCTACCCTATGCATGGGCAATGGTAAACAAAATGTCTCGTGGGCATTTATCTAACCTACTCTTAAATATCTCCACAGATGGAGATTCCACAACCTCCCTGGGTAATTTATTCCAGTGTTTGACTACCCTGACAGTTAGGAACTTTTTCCTAACGTCCAACCTAAACCTCTGATGTTGCAGTTTCAGCCCATTGCTTCTTGTTCTATCCTCAGAGACCAAGATGAACAAATTTTCTCCCTCCTCTTTATGACACCCTTTTAGATATCTGAAAACTGCTATCATGTGCCCCCCTCAATCTTCTCTTTACTTAACTAAACAAACACAGTTCTTTCAGCCTTCCTTCATAGGTCATGTTCTCTAGACCTTTAATCATTCTTGTTGCTCTTCTCTGGACCCTCTCCAATTTCTCCACATCCTTCTTGAAATGCAGTGCCCAGAACTGGACGCAATACTCCAACTGAGGACTAACTAGCACAGAGTAGAGCAGAAAAATAACGTCTAGTGTCTTGCTCACAACACACCTGTTAATTCATCCCAGAATCATGTTTGCTTTTTTTGCAACAGCATCACACTGCTGACTCATATTCAGCTTGTGGTCCACTATAACCCCTAGATCCCTTTCTACCGTACTCCTTGCTAGACAGTAGCTTCCCATTCTGTATGTGTGAAACTGATTGTTCCTTCCTAAGTGGAGCACTTTGCATTTGTCTTTATTAAATTTCATCCTGTTTACCTCAGACCATTTCTCCAATTTGTTGAGATCATTTTGAATTATGACCCTATCCTCCAGATTAGTCTCAACCCCTCCTGGCTTGGTATTATCTGTAAACTTAATGAGTGTACTTTCTATGCCAATATCTAAATCGTTGATGAAGATATTGAACAGA